GGGATTATATTTTTTGAAATTTCAATTTTCACTTCCTTCTTATCTTGAATTAGGTTTTTCATATTAAGTTTATGAATCTTACATAACTCCTTTATGTCATCTAAAAATGAATACTTTGCTGAACAATTATTAAGCTGAGAATTGGTGATTTTAAAGGTTACTTTATTATTTAATAGACGAATAAATAGGTTTAATAAATATTTTATTTTGTTGTATGTAACTTGATATATCACGAACTTTAAATAGAGAGTTTATATAGTTTTTGCTATACTTGGAGACATTAAAAAGTTACTTAACTGCATTTCTTCTAAGTTTATAAAGTCTTTGCATTGTTAACTCTCTATTTTCACATGGTTCCAGACCATACGTTAGCGTCGAAACTGCTAAAGATGTATATAATTGGATAATATGGATGTACAAACCGGACACCATATTGAATCAGAGTTTGCACTGTTGTTTGAAATTTTGATATCCTATTGTTAATATTTATTCTATTAGGTGAGGCAAATAAAGATTTTTGTGTATCCCAAGTAAAGCCAAGATGGTTAGGTTTTTCATTTGCAATTATTTGATGGTCTTCTATGGATATCTTGTAATTAGTTAACTGTCTTTTTCCAGAAAGCAGTAGTTCCGTTTTTACAGCATTAAGTTTTATGCCGTTTAAGTTATTTAAGTATTACACGTTGTAATCATCCTTTCAAGACCAGATAGAGTAGAGCTAAGAAGAATGATGTCATCAGCATAAGCAACAACACCTGTAAAGTTTCCGTGTATAGAGGTACCGACAACGTTATCATTTTTTATAATTTCGAATAACTTTTCGGTGTACACGTTTTACAGGTAAAGAGACAGAATCGATCCTTGTATCACTCCTTGCTTAAGAGCAAGTGAAACTGATTTGGAGCCTAGGGAAGAGACAGTTGCACTACTGTTGTGGTATAAAGAGGATATAGTGTTAACTATTTGGTGTGGTGAGTTTTTATCAAATTAAAGTTTATCAAAGAGAATGATCCAGTTGCAGCTGTCAAAAGCTTTTTCAACATCTAGCGAACATAAATAAATCGGCAAATTGTGGTTGTTGTAATGTTGAACTGTTTCACCTATAACAAAAATCAGCATGCAAAGTCGAACTCTTATTGTTAAACCAAATTGAAGGGGATGTGTTTCTTTTATCTCAGGACTGATGAGTAAGATAAGGTATTCTAAAAGTTTGATAAATATTGGAACAATACTGATACCTCGGTAGTTATTTGGGTCTGTAAGTGATTTTTTATACAGTTTTACTAGCGTTATAATAGTTGACGTTGACATAGATGTTGGGGTCCATCCATGATTAATTGAGAAATGAAAGAATTTTCTTATCCATTGTGTTAGTGCATCACATTGGGCATATTTTAAATGTTCTGCAGAAATATTGAAATGATCTTTGCATTTATTTAATTTTAAGCAAGATATAGCGACTTTTATATTTTCATCAGTAATAACTATTTCATCAGGATTTTTACAAGACGGAATTTGACGATAAGTATAACACAGATTTAATTTTTCAGTGTTTAATCGTTTTTTAAATATGGTAGCAAACTCTGGGGTGATCGATTCTTTATCTTCTTTATTGTTTATAGTAAAAAGTTTTGGATTTGAACTCTTTTTTACACACTTAAAAACATTCCAAGAGTTTTTTGGGTCAGAGTTTTTCAATTTTTCAATTTTTATGTATTGTTGATATAGTTTACTGTTTTTGGGCTGCTTTGACGGCTTTTCGGAAGATCTTCCGAGCAAAGAGGTAGCGATTAAAGATAGAAGAGGTTGAGTCTTTTATGAATCCCGTTTCCCTCCTTTTTTTAAAATAATGTGAAAGAATTTTTTTACTTCGAGTTATGTCGGGAGCCTACCAGGACTTTGAATGTGCCGATCGTTTTTTTGACTTTAAGTGTTATTTAAGAGCTCATGCTCCACTATTAGTAATAGTAGTATAGATTTGGACAAGTATAAGTTATATTTATTATATTTATGTGATCCTTATATAAGTTTATAAAGTCTAGATTATTCCAGAGATAACTTGGAATGCTATAATCCGCTGTTATTTTGTTTATATTTTCTTGATAATAATGACCTTTAATTTCTATTGAAATCGATAGCGGCAAGTGATCACTTACATTTTGAAAGAAAGGAGAAATAACGATACATTTATATACAAGAAGAGATGTATGCTTTGAAATAGCTATATGATCAATATACAATGAGTTTGGTAGTGTAAGATGTTCATATGTGATTGCAGGACCAGACCCTTTAGTTACGTCGACTAATTCTAATTCGTTTGATTCAATAAATTCAGATAAAATCAAAGAATAATTTTTGCAATTTTTGCATTTTTGAAAAAACGATATATATATATATATATATTATATATATATATATATATATATATATATATATATATATATATATATATATATATATATATATATATATACATGTATACATGTATATACATATATATATATATATATATATATATATATATATATATATATATATATATATATATATATATATACATGTATACATGTATATATATATATATATATATATATATATATATATATATATATATATATATATATATATATATATATATATATATATACATGTATACATGTATATATATATATATATATATATATATATATATATATATATATATATATAGTCTTGCATGTCTCTTGCGTAGCATCAAAAAATATTTCCCATAAACTGTAGTTTTAAAGAGCGCGTTAATAAACCAGACCAGAAAAAGTTTTAAAAATTAAATTTTTTTTTTTAATTGATAGACTGCCTGGCCAAACCAAACCCTCAGTCGATGTAGCAGCACTCTCTTGCGAGTCAGGCTATTTGTCAGTCGTTGTAGCAGCACTCCCTTGCGAGTCAGGCTATTTGTCAGTCGATGTAGCAGCATTCCCTTGCGAGTCAGGCTATTTGTCAGTCGATGTAGCAGCACTCCGTTGCGAGTCAGGCTATTTGTCAGTCGATGTAGCAGCACTCCGTTGCGAGTCAGGCTATTTGTCAGTCGATGTAGCAGCACTCCGTTGCGAGTCAAGCTATAAGATAGTCGATGTAGCAACATTTACGCATGTTTAAAAAATGTTTTTTATTAAATCAATAACAAAAACACCACTAATTAAAAAAAACTTTCTAGTCGTTATAATTGCGGTTTTTTAAAAATTTGTTAAAAAACAATTAAATTTAATGTACTTCCGCATAAATTAATTGCTTTGACATTTCGACGACAATCAAAAACAGCTTAAGAGACGAGTAATTAAAATTGTAGTCGTAAGAGACTTTTTTTACATTAAAATGCTCTTAAAGCGACACTATATGAGTATATATATATATATATATATATATATATATATATAATCAAAACAAAAATAACCTATTATAGAAGGTTTTATGAGATTTTTAATATTATTTGTTGAGCATCTATTTTAAAGTTTTATTTTTTAAAACAAAGCAATTTGTCAAACGACTTCTTTTAATGATTTTTTTATTTCAGTGATTTTAAACATATTTTTTTTAGTAAAACATCATTTTGACAGGCTTTTTTAGATTAAATTGCATCATTCTTTACAAATAAAGGTAGTTTTTTAATTTAACTTTACTAAAGACCGTTTTCCACAAGACGAAAAATTCGCGCGAAGCGAATTTTTTCGTCGTTAAGCATGCGCAGATTAAACATTTTTGGCGATTATACTGATTTTTTTTCGCTACAGCAAAAAAAAGTCGGATTCATTTCGACTTTTTGCGAACCGCCATAAGCGAAAACCAATAAAATTTTGAATATTATATCACGTGATGTCAACATTAAAAAAAAAGCGAAAACATCTTGTTTTTAAAGTAACAAAAAACAAAATTCTTAACCTGGCGTTCTTATTTATTTTATATGAACTTACTCTGAAAATTGGCTAGCATGAGTAAATTTATCAAACAAGGGGCAAGACTTACATAAAAAAATGACCAGACTTATATATAAAACTAAATCGAAAATTTACAAATATAAATTTTCACACTGTCAATTACAAAAGTTACGCTTCATAAGAATGTTTATCTTCAAATGGCCACACGAAGATAAACCTTTTTGTGAAAAATTCTTTATAGAGTTAAACCTGCTGTTCGTTCTTGCAGTAATAGTTTTTAATTTAAATTTAAAACTCATATCTGAGTTTAGCATTTATTTTCTTATACTTTCTTGTAAAAAAACAACCTTATATTAAACGATTATATTACAAAATAATATCACATCTTACATATGAAGGCAGAAATATTAATATTAATGCACGGAAAGAAATTTTCACATGCTTCAAAGTAGAAAGTATGCTAAAAAAGTATTAACTGCCTTCAGTTTAACATACAGCGTAAACTTATTGCTGCCATTTTTATTGTTGACAACGAAAAAAAAGTAGCGCGAAAGAAAGTAAGTGGAAATCAAAACAGCGTTTCGTCGTAGCGAAAAAATTCGCTTCGCGCGAATTTTTCGTGTTGTGGAAAACGGCCTAAGCAAGAGAAACATTTCTCAAGAATTCATAACAAAAACTGTTTTTGAATAATAAATATAGATACATATCAAAAATTTTCACTGTTTTGCCTTTAAAACGACATTTCAAAAATTCTACATTATATCTCCTAAATTCTTTGCTACTTTCTCCATATTAAACATTAACTTTCATTAAGATTAAGAATAGCCATAGTTTGCAACTCAAAAAATACTGTGGAAACCCATGTATTCTAGCATTTTTACCTTATCTAGCATTTTTACCTTATATGTAATACTAAATATAAAATTTTCTTATTGAGAATTAAAATTTAATATAATAAAAAATATTAAAAATATACAACTCTAAAATATATAACTCTGCTGAAATACTCAAAATAGGAATAACCCTAAAAAAGTGACGCCGTATGCATTACACTATATAAATGTGTGTCATCTATATAAAACTCTATGCAAATATTTTTTTTTTTTTTGAATAACTAACAACTAAGGTAGCTTTTCACTCGTTAATGTTTTCAAGATGATCACTAATTTTCCTTGATCGCCTTTGTTTAAACGAATTTCTAGTGTTCTCTACTTTCTCGTCGTCGCTGGACGAGGAGCTACAGTATGTCGTTTTCGGCGTTTTTAAAACTTTAAAAAAAGTTCTTTGTTTTCCCGTAGCACGTTTTTCGTTAAGTTTTTCTAAACTTCTACGAGTTTTGTTAGAAGTTAAATTTGTTCCTAAAAACAGTTGATGTTAATTAAATTTATGCCATTTAAAAATTTTAGTACATATATCTTATATTTTTGATAAACTTTATTTTATTTTTATAGATAAATGTTTAAAGAATAAACTTTAGAAAAATAAAAAAATAATTTACATTAACTCAATTTTTTGTATCTTACTTGTGTTCTTGTTGTTTTCAAATTTTGATAGCAACTGATTGACCTTTCCGGCTGAACCAATAGGCATTTTGATTCCCCTCGACCTATCTTTAAGATAGTTATCTTTTTTAAACATTTTTTCGATTTCATTTTGTTGACTTTGACTTCCTCGTCTTCTTCCCAATTTATTACTACATGATGTGGAACTGGCAATCACTTTGTTAATTGTATCATCAGGTATAATAAATCCTTCATCCGTTTTAATAAAGTTTTCTTCGTAATCACTACTTGTAGATCCTGAATCGTAATCAGTTTCGGGAATAATGGATTCTCTTGTTTTCTTTTTATTACCTTTCTCGTTTCGATCTATAAAATAGTTTTCTTTTTTATACAAGCGGAGCATTTCTTCCTGTTTTAGTTCTGATAATTTTGGTGATTCTGTTTGACAGTTTGAATCTTCTTCATCGTACTCGCTACTTGATTGGTTATATGAACTTTCGAAAGCTTCACTTGGTTTTTCTGGTCTTGCTATTGATTTTACAGTAATGGAAATTTTACGAACTGTTTCATTTTGAACTGGCGGCTTCACAGGTAAAGTTAACATATTTTTTCGATTACTTAATGGTGTGTTTATATCAGAACTATTAGTTGTTGACGGTACGCTCAAACTCTTGTGTAACGGTTTTTCAGAAACATTATTTTGGAATACGTTATCATCAGTAAGATTTTCACTTGCCACATTGTTATTGATTGTTTTAAGTCCTTGTTGCCTAGTTTCATCGTCTTCTTCTTCAAGTTTAGACATTGCTAATGCTTCTGAGTTTGGCTCAGTTCGATTGAAGCTAGAAGAAGAACTTCTTTCGACACGGCTAGTTTTGCGTGAATGGTTCGGCGAAAGCCCTTTAATTTTTACTCCTGATGAAAAAGTTAATCTAGAAGGAACAGAAGGACTATCTTGTTGGGAAGAAATTCTGTCTCTAATTGATGTTTCCAAGTGAGCATATTTGTTTAAAAGACCTTCAACTATAAATATTAAAAAACATAAAACTATAAAAGAAATTAAGTAATAATAATATTTAAACTATATAAAACTTTTTACAATACAAAATTTTAGGGTTAGAAATTATAAACATCCATATACAACGTTAACTACTATGGTTGTCCAATAATTTTCTAAATAATATAAAAAATTTTAGAAAATATTTTATACAATGGTTTCAACTTTTTTACTATAGGCAAAAAAGCTCAACGTTTTATCATTTTATTAGGATAACGATATGAATCTTCTAAAGCAAAGGAATGCAACAATATAAGACAATTTGATTGGCCACACAACTCAGATTAAATTTCCCAAAGAATACGATACAATGAGATCCAAAAATAAAGTTATTAAAAACAAATATATGTGAGAGGTTATAAAAATAAATATAATGCCATGCTAAAATAAGTATACATAAAAAGATGAAAATATAAAAAGACACAATAAAATATTAATTTTACTTTTACTGATGATTTGACTTGAATTGTTGATGTCTTAACTTTTGTATATAAACAATAAATTTTCTTACTTATTTCTATGTATAAAGTAGAATTATCATTTTCAATTGATTGTCTGTAAGATCTCTTTACTTTTTGAGAAAATGGTATACAATAAAAATTTTGAAAAATACAATTTTTTTAAAGTCATAATGCATAACAATAGAAAACGAGAAAAAAACAATGAAATGTATTTCCATCAAATAATGATTGCAAAATAAAATAACTCATTTATAACTTTGGCATGCTATATCTAAAAAGACATTAAAAATTATTTTTTAAATATCAAATTCATTTTAAACAATAGTTTGGTTTCAGTTTTAGTTTCAAAATAGCTTATTGAAATTATGTACAAAAATTGTAACTGGGAAAAGATATTTATTGATTGTTAAAGTAAAAAAAGATAATTTTGGACAAGCTTAATAAGCATAATATGCAAGAAACTATGTGGACTGTACATCTGAAAACAGAAAACTATTGGTTTTGATAACAGTATTTTTAGAATGGAATTTAAAAAACAATTTTTTTACAACTTATAAAAATTGTAAATGTAACCGAGCAAAGTTTGACAAAGTTTTAACCATTAAGCTATTAATAATCTTTGTGGTCTAAGGCAAGAAAGCCGATATATGAGGTAAATGAAAAGGTGGCTAAGGTGGCCAAGTATTTTTTTAAATCATAGTCTTCTTTATTTCGTGCATTTTGTCGTGATTGTTACTGATAAACGAAAGTTAAACAAAATATTGAATCTTCTTTTTTAATTTAACACAAAAATCAATAAGTAAAACAATGTAATTTAGAACTGTTAATTTGAAAATTGGATTAGCTTCGTATTAAAAAGAGTCATTAGCAATCTTATTGCTTTGAAATAATACAAGCTTGAATGAATTAACAAACAAACAGTTTGATATCAGGTACTAACTATTTTAATACTAACAAATAAGTAATATAGTTAATTGTATTGTAGCAACAAATGAAAAAAATTTATTAAAAAAAATTGTAAAATATTGGTTGCTGTGACAGTCAATATTAGCTCAAAAAGTTAGTTTTAAATAATTTCAAGAAAAGGTTATTCAGTTAGCTTGCAAACACTAAAGTTTCTATAGAAGATGTTTACTAAAAAACAACTACAACTACTAACTCATTTAAATTTGTTTATCAAAAAATATTTAGTAGGTTATTATTTTACTTTTAATTGATACTTTTATTTTATTAAAGTAGTAATTTATATTCATTAATTTTTGTTATAATATTTATAAATATTATAAATATAAAATATTTCACCTAAAGCACGCTCATCAGGAAGCAGCGGATCATTTTCACGACACTTAATTTCATTAGAAAAAAATGAATATGGTCTCCTGCTGTTATCTTCTCGATCCTCATAAGCGTTGTCTTCGTATAAACTTGCATTTGGTTCTTTATCTGCATTAGTATCCACAGAATAGCTTATTCTTGCTCCATCATATGTACTACGCTTACTTTCACTTAAACTAGTTACATTACTGGATCTAGCACTAGATAACAGACTTAACCTTTCAATAAATTCACGACGGCTGCTCTTAACAGACTCTTGTGACATTTCATCTACTGGACTTTTGTTGTCATATGGATTATTTAGACGCCTGTACTTGTGTTGAGTTGATAATAATTGCATTTGTTTTTCTGTCACAGGAGAAATACTGCCATCATGAGACAATTGTTGCTGGAACTCGTGAAGCTGGGATCTAAGAACAAAATTTATTAAAAACTTTTTTAAAACTCTATTTTCTGATAATTTAGTAAAAACTTCATTTTATAATATAATTTGATATTTGAAGATGTTATAAAGGATTAATTTTTTTAACTCAATTTTGTTAACTTTCATAGTTATAATAATATGATAAACTAATAATAGTTCATGTAAAAAATCCTTTTACTTCAAATATTTTTCCTAGAGAAATGAACAATAATTAAACCCTGTTTTAAAGAATTGTACATTATATTTATCAAAAAGTAACTAACCTCATACTCATTTGTTTTTCTCTAAGAATAAGTAAAGAGGCCTTCCTTTGAAGAGTTCCATCTCGTTTAGCATAAGAAGGAGTGCGCTCTAAAATTTTTTCTTTTGCAACAATTGACTCTCTT